TGAAATAAGTATTATCAATTGTAATGCTAAATATTATTTGTTTTAAATATGTCTCTATCAATTGGTATTTACCTTCAATAAGCTTTTTAATCTCAAATTTGCAAAATTTGTCATCAATTTCGGATCGACTTTGTTTGGTTGGGATATTAGGCGGCGGCAAATCCAACTGCCGTACTTCACCTGCAGCGCGTCCATCATCTCCTTCAGTAATCTGGGACGATGGTGTATCTCGACCTGGTGATTATAAAAAATTAAATAATTTATAATTGTAATTGGTACCAAATATAAAAAAAAAAAACAATTTAATAGAATTAATATACCTGATATATTAGGAGTTCCTCTACCCGATACATTAGCAGACACCATGTCTGAGAGATTATCATTTTGATCTTCTGTTTCTAATTCTAGGGAAGAAGCGACACTATGATTGGAAGCGGCTTCTGATACAGCTTCCAAATTATCGGATGTATTTCCAATCGATCCTTCGAACAGAACTAATTATTTTTAATGTAGATGTGTTATGAAAAAACCAAGCAATAAATAATTTTAATGTTTATTATAAACTTACTTCTTAACTTTGTTTATATTATTTACTTAACTTTTTTTAAAAATATAAATGCATACTATTTAAAAACAATCAGTATCATATTCAGTATCAGTAATTGATATACCTTCATCATGTGACAATGAGAATCGAGTTCTCTTCTCTTGCGTTTCGATACGTTCAACATTGCTATTTTCTTGTCTAGAAAGTTCATTAGAGGCATCATCAGGGAGATTCAAAGTAACAGGTCCATTCTTCATACCACTTTGGAGCTCCATGCATAGAACCTATAAATAATGAAACAAAATATTTTATTTGATAGCTTTAATCATTAATTCTAAATTTATTACTTCTGTTATGTAGACATATAAAACCATTTATGTAGATAAAAAAAACTATTTATATTATTTATATTATTTATTATATTTCAATTTTATAAATTTATAAAATTGTATAAATCCATGAAATGAGTATATTTTATAAATAATTATATATATATAAACATCTTTTTTTGAAAGTTAAGCAATACATAATTTTATATAAACTACATACATATAAAATGTAACTTCTTATTAAATATATAAAGAATAACAAACAACAGAGTATGTAATAAATCTATTAATACTGATATGTGTACATACTTTCTGTTCACTGAGTAGCCCTACAGATTCTCCAATTGTTGGACCAAAAGGTATGACTAACACATCGTGAAAATTTTTATCTACAGTTTCCTCTTCAGGAACTGCAGTGCCATTAATTTCTTCTCCACTTTCGTTTGTTATATTTGGTGAGAATGTAGTCATCCTTATACCTCGTCCTTTTCCTATTATAAAATATTTTAATGTTATACTACGACAAGTAAACAATCATTATTGTATTATTTAGGTGATATACCTTTTCCTGTAGCAACACCCCGTTTGCTAGGTGTTTCCAAATATTCATTACTTAGTTTATTATTATGCAGTAAACCTGAGGGTAATTGCAACAACATTTCTGCTAATTGTTTTCTATCAAATGAATTATGCAATATTGTTTCTTCATTGTTATCACCAGCAATCGTGTTTAAAAATGTAATTAAGGAATTCAATTCACTTTCCGTAAACAATGCTGCGGATCGTGACAGGCCTTGAAATTTATTATTGTCAATTATAATTGGTTCCTCCTCTAATTCTTCTGTCGCACCATCCAACATAGAATCTATTATGGAAGACACTGAATCTTTCTCAAATTTTTTATAAAGATCAATAACTTTGTTATCGATACTTTGATACTTTTGTAGCGAAAGCATTTGTAAAATTTGTCCAACTTGCATTAGATTGAACCTCGCGACATAACTTATCGGTGCATCGGTAATGCCATAAGGCTCTGGATTAACTATAGCAGGGCAAATAAAATATGTAAATACAAGATCAGTACACATGGCATGTACTTCTTTTGGATCTACATTTCCATTCTTACTAAAAAGCCCTGCCATTTGTCTCACAAGCCAGCAAACACTTGTAGGAAAGCAATGTATTGTTTCACGAATGTTGACGATAAATCTCTGCGTGATACGATACAAAGAATTAACTGTCCACAGTCTATAACGCTGTAACTTTGCTTGATATTCGGTCGTGCCTTCCTTCCCGAATTTCTTCAATCTTTCTGCAGGCGGAAATCTAATAGGCGCTTTATCCGGATCAATGTCCAAGAACATTTCATCTTCCATGAGTAATTGCACTATAGGGTTGTGCAAAGCTGCTGTCAAGAAAAGCTTTGCGGAGAACAGACTCTCGTGAAAAATCGAGTAAAATCTGGAAAACGCGCATGTTCCATGCCTGAGCAATCTTCGTGGGTTGTCAGACGGAATTATCTGCAGCAACATAAGATGCCTCAGTAACTGAAGGACTAAACTTTTATCCTCTGGTAATATACAACTTCCATATAATCCAGCAGCTAGGCACTGTACGATTGTTTGCATCGATTCTGGAATGGCTCTGTCCCCTTCGACCAAGCATGAAGCAAGGAGTTTTGGTGACTTTCGCAGTGCACCTAAAAATTCTCCATAAGATAAACACGCTTGATAGCGCAGGTACTTATATGCATCGATAAAATGTGAATTTTCCAATGCATTTGCTCTTAGGCAACACGACGCTGGAGTACAATCTGGCCTTGCCACTATCAAGCGATTCAGACTGACTCTTTGTTGAGCAGTTATCCATGCTTGTTGTGCTAACTGCGATGAGATATACAAGACCTAAAGACAACAAAGTCCGTATTAAGATGCATTAAATTAATATTTATAGATGTTTATTATCTTTTTTAACCCTTCATACACATCATAATTTTCTAACTACATGATAAATCGTTCATGTTCTGGATTAATTTTTATAACTTTTATAAGAATACAAAAATTATTAGATATACTCTATAATTCTTACATATACTCTACATTTTAAAAACCATATTAAGGGTTATGTATCAAATTTGTTATGATCAATATAAGGTGCACTATGTTTCATACAGATGAAGTATCATTTTGTCTTTTAATATTTAATTAATATTTGATAAATAAGAATAAAATGATACATCATGCTTGAAACAGGACACACTCTTAGGCTGAGTTCTTCACTGTGAGTACTGAAAATCTACTATACTATACATATACAGACTTTCAGTACTTGCAATTAATAGTAATTGAACGTAGCTACAGATTATGTTACATGGAATCCATAACAGTGGATGTTACTTACTCGTTCATTAAGAGTCTGTAAGTTTTGCTGTTCTGAATTAACAAACAGTCTTTCCTGGCGCAAATGACGAGCTAATTCCATCATATCCCACTGTAATGTTCCATGGGAATCGATACTGTTAATCGATGACATTATTGGATGTACCTTCAATAGGAAAAACAGTTGTACAGAACATAAACCATTACGGAATCTAATTATAGAAGTATTATTTCGAGAGTTACTTGTGTACAATCCTGTTAGTCGATTATCCCGCACATTAATAATAGTCAGGATGTGACGTACGCAGGCTTACTTTACAAAGAATCTCAGCAAGACTTCTGAGCGCATATGCTGTCTCACGAGGATCAAGTGCATACAAGTATGAGAGAGAGAACAAGCGTCGTTCACCTGGCGAGGTAAATAAAGATCTCAATTTAGGGCAGAATACAATTGTATTGTCGTTAACGACAGAGCTGAGATATTGCATAACGCGTTGGCAAATATGCGAGCGTAGTTTCGCGATGATATCATGGAAATGGAGCTCAAGGTGAAACGTAACGATAGCCCGCGTCACGTATTGAAACGTTACAGGGAAATGCTGTCGAGTACGAGGCGAGTGTTACGCGCGTTTCCAATCTCCCGGCACAATTATTGCCGTTACTGTCGCGTAACTGAACATTGATTCAACCGTGGAAAACAACAATCGTCGCATAAAAGTCGTGTATTCGCCAGCTGCCTAGTGCCTCCTTCTGAACCGTGCACCGTATCGGTCTTCCGATTTCACACAGGCGTGCTCGCGAATGCGACGGATTGCGTACCTCTCAGTGAAAAACTGCTCGAACACTTACACGTCGTCGGGAACGACGATCGTACAATTCGTTGTTATTGCACGCGGGTCAGAGCAACACCCCCAATACTCCCGATGACACACGTACATCTTCTATAATTGTAGGTTAGATTTTTTCTTCCACAAATAAAGTCACTAGATTCGTAAAGTACCGCAAACTCGCCATTTTGTGACGAAGACCGGGTCATTTTAAACTTATGTATTTATGTAAACATACTTTATTTGGGAAAATAAAGCTCTAAAATACATAAATCGATTTGTTTCTTCGGTAATAAATTTTCTTATAAACGAAGAAATATGTACAAATATTTTATTTATGAATCTTTTAGTCTAATACAGATTTATTTGTTGTTTAAGTTTTAATATATAAATAAAGTATACGAAGATCAACGGAAGCTTCGCTCAAAGTTTGACATTGCTGATTCTATAGTCCACTTGATTGGCCATAAATGCCTTGAAGCATTTTTTGTTTGATCAATTTTTTGATTAGTCTGTTAAAAATAAAATAATTTGCATCTTTAAATGGATCGTATCTCTGATCTTCTTTCCGCAAATTAAACAAAGCAAAATTATTAATAGTTTTATTTATATTAACAAATTATAATGCTCTAAGTTCAGTAGTTTTTTCAAAATCTTTAAAAGATACGTACAAATAATGAAATATAATACACTAATTTCACAATTACGTACGTCTTTTATGTCATGATAATGTAATTGCAAAATAGAATAAAAATACAAACAGGTTATACAGATACAAATATTGCGATCGTCGTTTTAAATTTTTAACATGTCAGAAATTATATTTTAAATTTCAGTTTCCTGATAGTAAGTCACAGCAATTCTTTGGTTTGAATAATGATCCACAAATTGTTAAAATTAGGATATGATGCTTTATAAAATTCTGCTCATATAAGCAACGCATCCACAGTTTGTATTCCGCTGCATTCTGTATTAATATCAAGTAGAAATCTTATTTTTACATAATATTCAAGGTTAATATATGTTACAATATTAATAAAATATTTTACTTACATTCTATATATATATTCTGCATTTCTGATTTATCTTTTAGAAACAACGTAGTTTCACTTCATTATATTATATATATTTCCATTTTATATATTTCCTATATTATAACTTATTTTTGTATATATTTAAAAAAGTATAGTTTTTAAATGTAAATAACAATTGATTCTCTACTGCTAGATGGAGGATAAAAATAGTAAACAGTTCTCCCGTACCATCGATTCTACCGTTCAAAATAATAACGACGAGATCGACTTCGATGAGACACCTACACCTTCAATAGCATCAATTGTCACCAATGAGGAATACACTCCCTCATCAGCGTCAATACGAACCATCTCCGATATTGAGCATTGTTATCAATTAGTTGGCAATGTCAACATTATCAATCAAATGTAAGCAGTATTTATTTATAATTATTAAACTAATAATAAAGGGAGAAAGGGTTTACGAGCGAACAATTACGTTAAAACATTTAATTTTATTCTAATATATTGCGAAGAATATTACGTTATTTTTGGCGTTTCATCCCGGCTTGAGATTCTATATAAAGAGATATGCGTATTAATAAAGCACTTGCGAAAATTTGCGAATATCGATAGACCTCTGATGATCCAATTGTGATTTTAAACGCATCATTTCGCCCGCGTGAATTAAAAATATATACCTAGTTGCGTTTCAAGACCGACGATTGTTCGGCGCGCAAGTTGGGGGATGGGGGTAATACATATATGTATTACTAATAAAAATATTGCGAAGAATATTACTATGTCGACCCGCCATCAGAGGTCTATCGATATACGCAAATTCTCGAATAAAGTGCTTTGACATGTGTATATCTCTTTATATAGTCCCGGAAGCCGGTACAAAACGCCAAAATATGATGTCAAATGATTTAGAAAAAGCGCGTGAGAAAACAAGTGGCATAATATCAAATTTATTGAATGATGCAAAAGCACTATAGTGCAGCCAATTGTTTTTTTCACACGATTTCTCCAAATCAATTAACATCATATTTTATTGGCTGGGACGAAACGCCATAATTACGTGATATTCTTCGCAATATTAAATTAATTTAAAAAGATTTTTAACTTAATTTATTTTTTGGCTCATATTGCCCTGTTTCTCTATATTAATTATGTAATAAAATTTTATCCTTCATCTAATTTTAAACAGGTTTATGTTAAACAGTTATATTCATTCGAAATAAGTTGCAAAGTGAACAGTTTGCAGGGAAGTTAATCAAGACGTGCTTTGCATCTGCTATACGGAAAGTTACGACTTTTTGGCGGCAGGGCTGTCGGACGGGAACGTAAAGTTCTACAAAGTTAGCTCAGGAGAGAATACGTTGATTCTGTGCGATGCGGAGATGATGCAGAATCCGGCTCCAGTGACCGCTGTAAAGCATCGTCCAGTGCGCAGAACACATCCGATCACTCATACTGTGATAGCGACTTGTTAGTATCGCACACATCTTTCACTTTTTATTTCAATTACTATATAATTTAATTATTATCTAATAAATCTATATATAATCTGGAAATTATTTATGTTTTTTTTTACTTTCGAAAAGATTTTGTTGAGATTAGCAAATATTGTTAATTTACATATTTAAATTATATATGTGTGTATTTTGAATTTATTGTATATTCATAAATAATTAAGATTTTACAAACAATTTTATATGAATATCGAACCAATAATATTAATTATATATGATACTTAACATAATATAAAATGCAATTTTTTTTAATTTTATCTTTTTAAAGATAGAATAATACCATGCAAAAAAATAAATAAGCAAAGTAAAATAATAAAAAGAAACTTCCGCATTATTTATTTATTATTAAAGGCAAATTTTACAGATATTAATCTAACTTTAAGTATATTAAAGAGTACATCAATATCTTAAATTATTTTTTTCTTGTCTTTAACTACGATGCTTGTTATTCATATAGATGCCAATGGCTGCGTTAAATGCTGGCATTACCCAACCGCGCAATGCCTTTACACGATACGAGAAAGACGGCAAACACTCGGTCTAGCTTACCATCCTCAATTACCAAAGTTCGTCACTGTCGGGGACGATACGATTTTATATTTATATGATGAAGAAACTAAAACGCGCGAAAGAGTGTTTCGTGGAAGGTAATTATCAAGAAGAAGTAATGAAAATTTCTCCATCTCTAAAAAGAGATATTGCTAAATAATAATAAAAAGACGAGCAAAAACATGTTAAGAAAATATAACATAAATTCTAATTCTAATATAGAGTCTTCTTCAGTTCAAAAAACATAAAGAAAAATAATTAAGAGGAAATGATGTTGCGCTAATTTACGCGCGTATGTTTTCCAAACTGAAGAAGATTCTGTATTAATCGTATGTTATATTTTCTTATATTAAATAAATATTCTTAGTAAATATTATTTAATTATTTTTTATCTATTTTTGTTCATCTTTGGCCGTTCTTTTTATTATTATTAAGATATTAATGATATTATCATAATCAAAAAATTAAGATTTTATCAAAACATTTCGTAATTTTCGAATACAGTAATACACCGGATGTCATGGATGGTCATAAATCCAGAGTCTTCAGCGTTTGCTTCAATCCTAAATCTGCATACGAATTGATAAGTGCTGGCTGGGATGACACCATCCAATTCTGGGATACCAGACAAGCTCATTCATTTCGATTCATATCGGGTGTACACATGTGCGGGGACGGCTTAGACATCAGTAGAAATGGGAAAGAGGTACTTTAGAATTTATGCCTATAATATGAAGAATCGATTAATTTATTAGTTGTTGAATGCACTATAGTGCATATTAAAAAGAAAAGCCGTTATACATACTGATTTAATTTGAATGTAAAAGTGAAATGTAAATATATTTCGAACTAGTAGCAGTAGCAGTAGCAATCGTTTATAGTTGTTCGTAGTGATTATGAGATATCTTGAAAACTTACTATTTTTAAATATATAAAAGTTTTATAGCGTTTTTAACTACAGATTTTCACGAATAACAGATCCTTACTTGTTCCTGGCAAAGGAATAATCCTTTACAATTGTGGGATTACGGTAGCGGCAAATTAATCGCCACTTTGGAACCAGACAGTTATTCTTCTTTATTATACGTTGGAAAATACGTAACACATATCTACATTGCATGCGGTGGTTGCGATAATAATCTTTTCAGAATCGTTGATCTACGATCTCATTCTGTAAGTCTGTCGGAATTTCATGACATTTTAATGCATAAAAGAATCGTATTGCATGACATAAAATATGTGAATGTTGATTACTCATCGCGTCATCATTAATGTACTCGATGCTACAATGTACTGTTATTACTATTTATAAAATTTATTGCGAAAATTTATTTATTTAAATGCAGGACAATGTTGGTGTTCATAGAACATACTTGTTCCATAAAAATAACTGTTTTGACATTCTTATTTCAGAATAATTTATATGCTCTTTGTTTCTGCAGACTGTAGCTATGATCAGAAATTTAAAGGGCGGTGTGTACAGTTTGGATGTCGGCCCGTTAGAATCAAAGTATAGTAAACGAATTCTTCCGAAATTCGCTTTCTGCGCCGGAACAACAATTTTCGAAATAGATGCCCAGCCTGACTGATTGATTTGTGACATTTATCTTCGACACGATTTCAAGCTTGAAAAAATATGTTATTTATTTTACAGTTTACAAATGATTTCCAAAACATAATTTACACTTGTTAAAATATGACGTATGTTACATATGTTTGTATAAATATCTAGTTTGTATAAAATTTTGATAAGATAATTCTTTAGATGTATAGTAAAAAGATGTTTTTAAAAAAATATATAATAAAATGATATAATGTTCGTTTTAGATTAACATTAATTAGATTTACTTTATTTTTTTTCTTTTTTTATAATAAATTAAATAAAAATATATGACATATATATCGCGGTAACGTACATCATAATATACTGTTAGAAATGAAATAAAATAACAAGAGAAAGAAGTATGATAAAAATTAAATAAATTAATTTTTTTTATGTTTTCTATAAAAATTTTGTCTGCAAGGAATAACACATTGCACTCAAGCAATAAACAATGTATTTTATTTAATACAAACTATAGTACAAAATTTATACAGAACAACGTACGGTTTTATCATCATTCTCATATGACAGCAAGTTCTCATATCGAGCGAACGCACACACTTAAGCAAGACTTAAGAGACGAGGGGCGGATTGGAGCGGTCGAAGGAACAAGGTATGAAGGGTCAGGGAACAATTACTAAAACTGAGCACATCGATTTGTGACAATACAAACTTACTTGACACGAGCAAATCCATCGGTTGACAAGCGACACGGTATAGAAAAAAGATTGCTCGCGCACAAACACGGTGAGAGAGCAGAAAGCGCATCGCATTTTTTTCCCTTTTTTTTTCTTTCCTCGGTACTCGCGCCGTAGACGACACGTCCTGTTTCGTAATACTTTTGCGGCGATTAACGTGATCGGATATCCGACCCACATTAGATTCCGGACAGGAATCATTGGATATCTTGTGCATTCAAGTATACTCCAAACTCGTCGACTACGCTGGGCAACATTCGAGACTTTGAAACTACGTTCCTCGCAACTCTCGCACTTAAAAAGAGGGGACGAGTCACCTCCGGCTGCGAGATATCGCAGAGAAAAACAGATCCTCCTTCTCCTAAATCGCATCCAATTGTACTTAACCATATAAGTAGATAATATTTAATCTCTAGGTGCGATCCAACAGACTATTCGGGATACTATTATATTCCAGGACATCTTTCGCCCGCATCTACAATCTAAACGATCAACGAGCCTAATTTGGTTGAGAAACGTGTTTGTAATAAAATATATTTATACACGATAATCACGACGCGCTCGCGAAGCGCCTCTTAGCAGCGGTCGCATTCGTCAGAGTACATCAGAGTATAAAATTGGTCGTTAATTTGCGCGATAAATCGGATTTTCCTTCGTTTTTTTGTCTAACTAAATTCCGCGACGCGGTGGGAACGCGCATGATTTACAAAATTAACGATGAGTCGATGATATGTATTTAAAAAAATATTGATACTTAGATACAATGTGCTCCAGGGTCGATCGATGAAGAAGTACAATATGCGCATGCACCCGTGAGGATCAACATATCCATCCCCGCTATTTCATCATACCTTCTTGACTTACAGGAGTCAGTAGCGGGAATTCCTGATGCACTATTATCGCTGCATCGTCAGCCGTTGAAAAGCGTTACACGATCAACCGATTTGAATTAATCGAGATAAAGACAATCTATAGTAGTAGGAGTACAAAGAGCAAGTTAATAACAATTAATGAGTAAGAGAGGTACCTACGTTCGCGAGAACAACGATCGTTTTAGTCTAAGCGGCTCTTCTGTATACAAATAGTAGATGCAATCCATATATTCTAAACGTGAGACGGCAGTCTCAAGCTTGAAGATATCTAACAAGATCTGATTCATTTCACAGAATCAAAATTACACATTCCTCAATAAGAGACAATATACGTACAATACTAAATTATTATCTTACAATTTAAGAAAAATCTAATCCACTTGTTACAATGTTATTACCTTCAACTGACTAATTTTGTATTAATTCTCACGCTCATGCAAAATATGGCCGTTGACGCAGAAGATCAGGAGGAATCACTTTCGGGGTTTCGGAAACGATTAGAAGCTCGTGAATTTCGGTACCCCCTTCCGTATGCACTCATGCTTCCGAAAACAGTCGCTCAACAGAAAACACACTTCGCTACATCGTGTCCTCACATACTGTACATCACTCTACATCACATTATTATCTATAAATTACTAATAGTGTGGCTTAATATTACATTATCTCGAGGTCTCGTCATATAATAACTTTTCCTGTTACGACAAAATCGACGAAGTCGCTTCGAAGATCGGAGATTTATCGTCTCGCGCGATAACATCGTATTCGAAAAAAAAAAACAAAAAAAAGATCAAGAAAGCGAAGCAGAAGGAAAGGTCAGCGTACGCCCGAGGCTCAGACCTTACATTCACAGCCTGACTGAACACTCGGTTCTTTTTCTTTTATCCTCCTTTTTTTGTGAACTAAAACTTTCGTGCCGCCCTTCGAGTTAAATCACTTGCACAATACTTGCGATTACTTCTCATACTTAATGCATGTTTGATTCCAAATCCAATAACTTATAGCAAAGTGACATAGGATAACGATGCAATTATATCTTTCTGAATTTACGTTGACCCCCTTCTCAACGCGCAGCCTCGTGATTGTTGCATTTCCAGCTTAAAATAATTGAACTAACGTCAAGCCAAGATACACGTTGACGAGAAGGAACATAAAGCGCCTGTCGTTAATTCGTAGTAAAAAATCCGAACACTTATACGAGATGATCGTCTTATAAATAATGATACATTATTAAAATAACAAAATTATTTTTCTCGGTGAACAGGACAGCGCTTGTATGAGATATTGTAGTGATAACGACAAAGAAAAGAGTACAACGAAAAAAACTTACTCTTAGAACAACAGGCGCAACCGTTTTGGCTCCGAAAACCCAATCTTCATCGCCAACATAAGGAGATCACACGATTTCATCGTCACGGCGATGTACTCATGTGATCGCATGAGTACTCTCGTCCGAATTAGATGCGCTGCGCTCGTGATGAAGAATCCGCGAGCGAAAACAGAAGATCGTCACCTCTGTATTACATAGTGTTATAAACGGGACTGCTGTGCCTAGGCCTAACCTGTAACCTAGCGAGGGGATGGGTTCTGCCATGCTGCTGCTGCTTTTTACTAGCTGCTTTAGCCACTACACTGGCCATGACTACGCTAGGTGAAGGTACTGCTGGCGGCCTGCCAGGGGCTTCTGGCGTCTCGTTAAACAAAGGTGCAGAGTGATTGTTGATCATGATCGGCGCAGACCTTCTCGACAACTCGGGTGCGATCTTCGATTTCGCTGGCGGATGCACCTCCAGAGCATCCCAATCCTTATCTTTGTGCGCGCGCAATTGGATATCCGAGCTCTTCCTGGATTCTGGCCTGGCAACCTCGTACTTCCCTACCAACACTCTGACGGAGAGATCCTCCATATTATCTTGCGATGATGGTGGCGTTGTCTCGCTCCTCCTGCCATGCTTGTTCTCTTTGGTTTCGCCAACGCTGGACAACGACTGGATCTTGGACTCGTTGTGCGGGATCACCGGCGATGAGGGCAAACTCCTGATTTTTACATCCCTTTTGGGTCGTGCAGTCACCGATGCGTTTTCGCCCTCGCACGCATTCTCAGGACTCTTCTCCAGCTTGGTCGACTTCGCTTCAAACTCTTTCTTCAGATTTTTAACTATGCCAGACGTGCTACGCGGACACTCTGCTTCCGGCGAATCGTCCACGGAGAGACAGCGCTTACTGAACACGGACTTGTTGCAGAGATTTTCCAAAACCATTTTGTGGTGTTTTACGGAAGGACACTGGGTAGTATTGACAACGCACGGACTGGACGTCTCGCTTTCGGATCTGCAGGATCTCAGAGACAGAGGCAGATCGGACTCGGAGGGCAGGGAGGATGGTGCGGGAGCGCTCGTAGACAGTCTTCCAATCTGGCGCATGGATGTAAGAGAGATGTCAATGCTACCTACCGGACTTGGCGAGTTCCTATTTGTTTCTACTTTAAGATTATGTTCCTGAGTGGGCGACGAATCCCTTCTTCGCGGTGTCGGCGATGGCATGTGATGCAATAGCATTGGATTGTACGTCTCGACCGCAACCGAGTCTATTTCAGTAGTTAACCTATCGCTCTTGTCGTCCGTGGTCGTTGAGCTCTGCGTACACACACGCTTCACTTCGCCCGCGGTCGTACCCTCCTCCAATTTCTGTTTAGTGCGCTTTACCGTTCCCGGATGCCATGGAATTTCTTCTTTGTCATACGGGAACAGACCACTGGATCCGAGCAGATCGGATGGCCGCATGTCATAAGAGCCCCAGGAACTGTTTCTCGACGGCAAAGTGGCCCACGAGCTGTGCACCGAATTGTTGTCAAGAACCACTGCGCTGTCGTAACTACTCCAGGAACTTTGCCGACTCGGAGATTCCCTTGTAACAGGCTCACCTCGCCTTTCCTCACGATCAAATACTCGATCCAGTTGGGCACTGAACGGATCGCCCTCCTTTTTTACTTTTTTTCCTAAACCATCATGACACGTCGATAACGTCGTTGTTGTCGTTGTCGTCATCATTGTGACTGACATCGTAGCTGGCGTATCCGCCATTACACTCACGTTACATTCACTTTCTACACTCACGCCTTTGTCAATTTTATTGTCATTACACAAATCAGTACACGTTACATTCGCGGACGCAGTCCAGACTAGACATTCACTATTATCATTGATCTCGGTGGATTCCTGGCTCATCTCTTTTCTCTTTTCCCTTTGTTCCTCACCGGGATCCCAAGTTTCTTTTCCGGAAAGACCGCTCGAAACTGAAGCCGTAATATCTTGCGTTTCTTGCGACTGTTCGCAATGCGAGTGACCGTTCTCGATTGGTTTCGTGTTATCCTCTACAGTCGAACTTTGAGGCAGAGATTTCGCATCCGTATCGGATCCTGGCGATGATGGCTTACTGCTAGCCGCTTCAAACTGATTAGTTAAATTGAGTACCAGGCCCTTCCTCTTCTGTCCCT